TGGACAATGACTAGGGAGGATAGAAGGAGAATTGATGCCTCTGAGCTGTGGTGCTGGAGAAGAGTATTGAGGGTACCCTGGACTGCTAGGAAAACAAACAGATTCCTCCTGGAAAGGGTCAAACCGGGCTGCTCCTTGGAGGCAAGGGTTCTGGAGCTTCGTCTGACATACTTCGGACAGGTTGTAAAAAGGGACCAGTCCTTGGAGAGGGACATCATACTTGGGAGGGGGAAGGACAGTGCAGGGGGGGAAGACCCTTTATGAGGTGGATTGATTCAGTGACTGGGGTGATCAGGATAGGTGTGTCAGAGGCGGTGCAGTTGGCACAGGATAGAGCTGGGTTTAGGTCTGTTGTACATACGGTTGCTATGAGTCGCAAGCCACTCAACAGCACATAACAACAACAACATAGGAAAGGGAGCAAACCTAGAGAGAACCAACTTGTGAGTTACAAATAGAAGGGCTTTGGAGGTGTTACTTATAGTTGTACTGAGAGAGAAGGTGGAGGAAAGTGGCCTAGATAAAATTCTCTGTGTACCCTAGGCAGTTTTCCCCAGTACCTGAAGGCTCTTCCCAGGGGTTGGACAGCACATCCAAAGGGCCACATGGCTCACCCTGAGGGCCGTTGGGCTTGACCCAAGGGCCACTCGCCTCGAGGGCCATTTGGCTTGCTCTGAGGGCTGAATGGCTCACCCCATGGACTGAAAGGCTCACCCCAAAGGCTGATCGGCTCACCTCAAGTGCTGAACGGATCACCCTGAGGGCCCAGCAGCTCTCCCCAGGGGCCGGACAGTGCACCCCGAGGACCAATGGCTCACCCCAGTGACTGAACGGCTCACCTTGAAGGCCAGATGGCTCACTCCAGGGACTGAACAGCACACTCTGAGGGCTGATGACACACTCTGGGGGCTGGGTGGCACACCCCCCTACTGATGTGTCATTTCCCCCCACATACTCCCACCCCCACCCCGACCCCCGCGAGGTCTGGAACCTTTGTCTCACTAAGACCATGGCCAGGGACAGTGCCCCCAGTTCCAGCGCTGCCACCATTATCCCCCTCCCTTCTACCAAGTGGTCATACTTCAATTTGAAGTAGGCATCACTGCCCTCCCCTGAGGAATTATCATTTCTTTTTTTTTATTGGGAAAAACATATTGGGGGTACAAGGAGGTAAGGGTTGGGGGCAGAAGGGTGAGGGTGGGCCAGGATGCAGTTGCAGAGCTGCACAGTTTGGTCGGTGGGGGGAGCAGGTGAAGGAAATAATGAGGGTCCAGAGGGGACCAGATCCTACAGAGGAATGACAAGCATTTTCCAATGGTAATTAAACCAACTGTCTTATTGATTTGGGAATTGGATGCCCACTCTCTGGCTTCTTC